AGTTTAAATAAAATGCAACCCTATATAGGAACGTGTTTAATCAAGTTCATATCGCAACTATATAAAAGTTAATTCAACTATATAAAAGTTAATCCAATGAAGTCCTCGGAACATATAGCAATACAAGTATGTGTGTGTGTGTGGGTCTGATTAGGTTTTGGTTGAAATCCATGCATATTAATTACCTAATTTGCATGATAATTAGCTAATTTTTAGCTGTTCCACTGATATCTAAAGAGCCATTTATTAGATTTTGATGAAACTTGCTAAATAGATGCTCTGGACTAATGCACAGATGTGATTAGTTTTGGGTAAAAATCCATGCTTATAATTAACCTAATTTGCATAATGATTAGTCAATTTTCAGCTTTTCCACTGATATCTCAGGTACTAATCATCACATTTCAATGAAACTCACATAGATACATACATGTAGGACGATGAACAGACAGATATGTGAAATATTAATTACCTAATTTGCATAATTAATCAATTTTCAGCTTTTGATATTCCAAGTACTATTACTTCATCACTTTTCAATGAAACTTGGTACATAGATGCTCTAGAACGATCCAAAGACCTGATTAATTTTAAGTAAAAATATGTGCATATTAATCAACTAATTTGCATAATTAGTTAATTTTTGCCTTTTACACTGATATCGCAAGTACTAATTATCCCATTTCAATGAATGCACAGACCTGATTAGTTTTAGGTTAAAATAAGTGCATATTAATTACCTAATTTGCATAATTACCCAATTTTCAGCTTTTACACTGATATCACATGTATTAATTATTCCATTTCAATGAAACTTAGTACATTGATGCTTCAGAACAATGCACAGACCCGCTCAGATCATATTAATTACCTAATTTGCATAATAAATCGTCATTTTTGGTTCTAATCACATTTCAATAAAACTTGGTACAATGTACATAGATGGTCTGTGACAGTACTCATCTTAATTCAATGAATCTTGGTACATATGTACTCTAACTCAATGTGATGATCAAATTAGTCTGATATCTAAAGAAATTAGATTTAAATTAAATTCATTGCAGAGGTGCTCTGGAATAAATTAGACAAAGAACTATGGATGAAAAATCAAATGTATTTTCTGTATGTAATATAAATTTTGATAATGTGAATCACATTTTTTCATGTTATGCATCTCAAATAGCAGACTAAAATTAGTTGCCAAGCTTCTCGATTGAAAAGCAAGTCTTGTATTTTGAATTAATTTGAATGCGTCTTCAATACTCTCAGCACACAGGAGTTCTTTCTAAGTTTTCTTTGATTCTTTTTTGTTGCTGCATTGTTTTGTTTTTTGTGAGCTAGTGCAGATTTTTTTTTATATGCAGTCTTTTCTGATTTTTATTGAGTCTCTATTAACTCTCAGTTAGTTTGTTTGGTATTTGTGTTTCTCAGTTTTGCTTACTTGTGGAGTGTTTTCACAAATGAAGATCTTTTCTTCCACATATATTATCAATTAATTGATCCCCAACTGCAAAATATGATCATGACAATAAAATATGTTTTGTTTTCAGGATAAATCTTCAGACACCAGCAGTTAGTGATGTGTTATCGCATCCTAGCGATGGTGTAACCAATCCTCATTTGGACTGGTTGCTAAGCTTTTTACTCCCTAAGATTGTCAAGTGGTCTGCAGAAAGTGATTCTCAACAATCTGTCCAATATAAATCACTTGTACCAATAGATAATTACACAGTTTTGTATCAGAAACTCAAACAGAAATACGGAGCCAAGATGGTCGAGGTAAAAACAATGAATAAATGTTTTTAGTTTTTATTTGGTTCAGCTCTAGCAATAGTACTTGAAGGGCGACAGTCGTTGTGCCGCATCCTGTTCAACATGGGACTCATAGCGACGTATACAACGCGTGTAAAATACATTTTTTATTTACATGAAATTCGAACACGCGCTGCGCGACGACCACCAAGCTTTAACTTGTCTGAAAAATAACATAAAATAAACCCAAATATTCAAAGAAATGGTTGATATTTTCTCAGTGTTGTGAAATCTTTATTGCTGAGGTCATTTAATTTGTTCATCATAATAATAGTTCAGCCTGGTAATGAATTATTGAATAAAGGCACTCCATAATGCACAGCTTTTGATTAAATCGTTTTAAATCGCTACTAAAAGAAAGGAAGAAGTCAATGAAAGGGTGACACAGCTGTTAAAGGCAACTTTGACACGGTTTTTGTAAAACAGAACTCATGTGAACAGCTTAGTTATTTTATTGTGACTTCAATATCAGACTAAAATGTACATAACAAACGAGGAAGTCACAATGCAATGAGAGCATTCCAACTACCGTATGGGTGGGTAGCCTAATTTTAATCAAGTGAAAAGTGCATGAGAAGTAATTTTAATAACACTTATTTTTAATCATTACTTTATTTTGTCTCAGATTTGGCCAGAAAATACTGATCCTCTGAAATTTGTTTATGAAGACATCGCCATAGCAACCTACCTTTTGTTGCTGTGGGAAGCAGAAAGAGAGGAAAAAGCTCTTGTTGAAAAACAAACATTTATAGATCTGGGATGTGGTAATGGTCTCTTAGTGTATATTCTTGTTTCAGAAGGGGTGAGTGACAATAAGGAATTATTTGTTAGGGTGAGGGTAGAGTGTCCCTCATAGAAAATTGTTTATATGCATTGCCACTTTTTCACCTGGTATATTCTTGCCTAGAAGTTTTTTTGTTTTTTTTTTGTATACATACTATTGCCAAGTAATCGGACCACAATGCAACAGAACAATAGCAGATATGTCCAGACAATCAGTTGCATGATGTGAGCGGCAACCAACAAATACTTTCTCAGTAACTAGTCAATAGTTCAAAACATAATCATTCTAGGAGCAGTTTTAATTTCATTTCACAGAATGTTTTTTATTACCATTTACATGACCATGACTAGCATCGTATCTTTTCCTTAGCATGCAGGTAAAGGCATAGATGTGCATAAAAGAAAGATCTGGGATTTATTTGGTGATGACATTGACCTTCAGGAAGTTACAATAACACCATCAGATAAAGCACTCTTCCCTGATACTGATTGGATAATTGGTAATCACTCTGATGAGCTAACACCATGGATACCAGTCATTGCAGCCAGGTATGTTTGCATGAAATATTACGTCAATTGTATTTTAACTTTGAGCTTACTGGGGGTTCTGTCATAATCCATGTTATTTTTCATATCTTAGGTCCAGCTACACGACGCGGTATTTTGTCTTGCCATGCTGCTTTTACGATTTTAACTGTAAATTCAGGAGAAAAAATTCAAAGATTCCTCAGTATTTGACATACCTGGAGTATGTTATGCATATAGGCGAGGTTTGTGGATTTGATGTGCAAGAAGATAGAATGAGAATACCATCAACAAAACGAGTAAGCAACTGCTTTAATATAATCTATGCCACTGTAGAACAGTGGGCAGTGACAGGCTTTATGATACTTCTCTAATCTGCATAATGCATGACAGTTGAATAATTTGCATAATATTAATAATAATCTAATTAGATTAATTAGTACTTTTTCTATCCATAAGTTTGCATTGTTTTCAAAAAACATTTGAAACTTTGCACAACAAAATTCAATTTAATCAAAACTAGTAGCCAATAGAAAACCATATCTATTTCCCCCCAAATTAACAGGGGTTCAAGGATTAATCAAAATCAGCAAGCACAAGTTTTGTTTTTATCCAAGAAATATTCAAAAACTGTCCACCAAACATTTTGCAGGAATTGACAATCTTATGGAGAAAAGTAATACAAATAATGCAATGTTGAAATAAATAACTATTATTTAGAAGAACAATGGTGGAACTGCATGTCTGTCTGTCTGTCTGTCTGTCTGTCTGTACAAATATTAATTGTTAGCCTGTTGTTACATGTGTGTAAATTGGTGGCTTGCCATGTTAAGATATATTGATATCTATATGTAGTAGATGGTGGAATAAACTTACTATGAAACAATATTATAAGAAAAAACATTATCATTTTTTAAAGGTTTGTCAAGTTGGAAGTTCCAGGATATATCCTGTAGAAGAACACATAGACAGAGAAACATTGATACAAGGGTTCATTGATGATAGATGTCAACAAAACTGTCTAACAAAGATGGTGTCCAGTGGTGGCACTGAGGTCACTGAGCATGCTCAGTATGATCACTCTGCATCTGATGGTGATCATTCATTAGATACCCAAAGTGCTACACCAGCATGGGTGCACCACTTTGAACCAAGAGCTCAAACAGAAGCTGTCAGGAACTGTTCGAAAGTTGATTATTTCCTGAGAAAGCACATTACAAAGACTATAGGTGATGTTCTGATCAGTAAAGGCAGTGATAATGATTATATAGACATTGAATATGCAAATGGTTCTGGAAAACAATGGAACACAGGAGGTAACATCTTATTAACAGATTATAATTTTCATTACCCCCTGTACTATGTTACATTTTGTGATATTTTGTCATGATAAAGATACAAGTTTATTATATAGTTATGTTTTGTTTAAAATTAGTCAGCTTTCAGTTTTACTGATATTCAATGTGCTTGGTATATTGTGTTTATTTATGTTTATCAGTACTCTACGGTTTTTACACGTATTTGTTTTTACCTAAACAGGTAAAATACCATTGCCAGAGGTAGCCAAGTTATTTGACAGTAATATATTAAAACAACTCAAGAATGAATGTGGTGGTCTGCAAACTTTGCTAAGAAATAGTCACCAAGTATTCCAAGGTAATTAAAGTTTTTCACAAGTGATGCACGCAACATAGCAGCCTGGTATTAACTAGTGTATATCCATCCATTTCATTCAATCACACATCCAGATATAGGTACGGCATTAGCTTCCTTATAATATAGTCATTCAATTGTTTTATTCATTTTTAGTTTATGGAGGTGAAGTCAGACTCAGAGATTGGTCAAAAATTGGACCTATCAGAAAAGGGACTGCAAGTTCAAATCAGGTGCCAGATGCTTCTTCACCAACCAGGAAACTACTCGGAAAGTCTCACGATGCTAGTCAACTTCGGAAAACAAAACTGTGTTGGTTTCATAGCAACCACCCAGATGGCTGTCCAAGGATGGCAATGGATTGTACATTTGCCCACGGGGAGGAGGAAATGAAACAGCGACCAACATTTCAAAAATAATTTACATATCTAGTCAGTTATTGGAATTTGCAAGCTAATTACAGTAATATTTACACACAAAATACATTTTATAGGTCAAAATTTATTATTTATTGTATCCATCATAGGAGTTGATCAATTTCATGATAAGATAAATATCATTTTGTTACCATGGCAATTTGTATAGTATACTTCTGAGCTTATATGACAGTGTGTTAATGATGCAAAACAGATGTATTACATTCTAGAAGACTTTGTATCAATTATGACATCACCAACTACTAGTGAGTTTTGTCTATACCTTACTCGCTCAATAATACACCACATGTATACAAGAGTTATCAGTGTAGTCATGCAGCCACCAAATGAAATTATGATTTACCAACAAATCTGTTATAATACAAGGATACAACAATAGTGACAGTATTAATAATTCAGATAACCCATAAATAGTGAAAAAGCTGTTTAGGAAAAACCAGAGATGAAAACTCACTAAATTCAGAATAAAAATTTCAGGAATGCTGCCACATGTATTTACCGGTATATATACAACTGCAAATAAAAGATGCATGTCACTTGAGTGAAGAATATGTCGAGGATTATACGTTTATTATGTTCACAGACAATACCGTAAAATTCGTTTTAGAAGCTGCATCCCTAATAGAAGTCACACCCATTTTTTTTAATAATTGAGAACAAAAAAAAACAATTTCTCATGTGTAGATGTTCTAGTAGAAACTACATTTCCTCTGTTGCATTGTGCCACTTTAATAAAATCTTAAGCTTCTAATACAGACTTTACAGTACTACCAAAGTTTGCATTTAGCTGGATGTATTTATTTATTTATTTTAACACATTAAAGGAATATTTCAAAATTATCACTGTTGTTGTTGCAATAATATTTTCATGTTTGTAGATAACTATGGGCAACCAATGCCAAATGCTGGCCATTGAGGCTTAATGAATAACGTTATATCATCTTGTATCTTTCTGTTCAAGTTCAACTTTCAATTATCTGTGCTCCTGGAACCTCAGCGAGTTGCATGAATGTAAATAAAGAGACAAGAGCAATGAAAATTTATTGACTGAAATGAAACAACGGTATTGAAAATTAACAGATTCTACAAGTGTCCCATCACATGATTATTACAGATTGTATTATAGGAATATGGTAGTGGTGCTTATATTTTTGGGGGAAAATGGGGTATATAAGATGAGGGTATGCAACTTGTGTGATGAAGATCACAAAATTGCTAAACAATCATGCATTTCAAGAAATTTTAATGCAAATGAGTTGTTCATTTCATTAGCTTCACTGTCATTGTAGATGACAGAGCCGAGCTGTTCATTTTCGTCTTCTAGAAAATTATCTGCAAGATTACTTTGATATGTTATATGTACCGTGGGGAACGTATATCAGACGAGTTCTCTAGTTTTAGTGAAAATATTCGGTAAAAAATTATATTTTCAACTTCTTGGAAACTACTAGCTCAATTGCTGTTATACTTAGTAGGTACCTAGGGTAGACCCATGTCAGATTTGTTTATTTTTTGGCAATATTTTCAAATTCTTCTTGTACCCTGCCAATTATTTTGGTGAACAATTTGATGAAGTTAAGTTGACATCTTCTCAACAGCCAAAACCAAACTACTTTTTTTGGCTAAATTCGGTCTCTGTGCGTCCGTCCGGAGTCATATCTCAGAATCCCTTGGACCGATTCCGTTCATTCTTTGCATGTGCCTAGTACTTTATGTGGGACACATGCAGTGGTTTAGCGATTCGATTCAAAATGGCCGACTGGCAGCCATCTTGTTTTTTGAAAATGTACTAATATATTTGACATGCTTTTTGATACACCACATATTACCTTTTGGAAACTATGCTATTGCAGTACATGCTACCTTTGGAGAACAGAATATGTTAGCAGTATTTCATTTTCAAAATAAGACACAATATCAAGTGAATTATGAAGGATATATCTTTATTTTTGGTAACAGATGCCAATTTTACAATTACAAATGTATAGTAATATGGCAGGAATGTTACCACGTTTCCTGTGTCTATATCTATCCTTAGTAATGCTTTATTTTCCAGTGACTTGTGGTCAGAAATCAGGAATCATTAAAAACACAAAATGAGATATAAATCTCAACATTATTATAGGGGTGTGAAGGTAAATCATCTTTCTATGTCTCCAATCAAGCCCCATATGCAATAAAACATCTCCTGCATAAAAATATTTTTGCCAAATACTTGTAAATGTACATTTTGCTGAAATCAATAGAAATATTACGCTATCACAGTAATAATCTCTTACAACTAGTGTAAACAAAGGAACATTCTTGAATTAGGATTTTCAATTAAATTTTCCATGATATGTAGACTAGAGGTATTCCTATACTGCAACAAAAAAAGTAGAATTGAAAGCTTCAGTAAGCAATTGCTTTGCCCTATGCACTCTGCTCTGTTTTATATAAATACAAAGTCTATTGTACTCTTTATTATTTGCTCATAGATAATACAATAATAATGATGGAATAACATGAGAGTACATTAATGTTGATGAACCATCCAAATTCCCATTAGTTTCGATGTTAGAGGCACTGCATACATGTGCTGTGAAAACTGTCCAATTATCCTGGTTCCATGGAGTGCAATGTGTCACATTTCCTCTCTTTGTCATTCCTGCATTGACAGACTGGTCCACACAGATTCAATCTGGCTTGTGTTTAGAGAATGTTCAGCTGCGAGAATGTTCAACTTCAATGGTGCCATCACATGATGCTAACCACAGCAGCTGACTTCTTCTTTTTCTTTTTTAATGTTGGTGCTCCTTTAATTTTGAAGGCAGTACTAGGGGGAAAATTTTGCACAAATATGAGTTAACAAATTTGAATCAAAGATCAACATTTGCAAAAGATGACAGGCTGATGGTTACCGGGGGATACTATAAAGGCATTGATTATTCGCTTGTTTTTAATTACGCTATTTACGCTGATACGTAAAATCCACTAAATAGGTGATTTTCCGTACAATTGCGAGATCTCGCGAGATGCATGAAAGACGCGCGTCGAACGTCTGCCGCAAAAATCGAACGATTTGATTTTGAACTAGAATTTCTTTATTTCGTAGCTTACATTGACCGGCCGATCTTCGACAGAGGAATATTGCTTCCGAATACCCTTACTTAATTGAAATTGCCTATCATCAAATGTGGACAGCACATTATTAAGCATGGAAATGTCCCCGAAATACTTTCGCGTTTGTCGAATCCCACGCGATGTTTGACGCGACTACGACGCTATGACCTTTGTTTGTCCTGTTTTTACGCTTGATTTCACGCATAACGCGTGATTCTCGCAGTGTACGGAAAATGGTCTATTGAATCCATGTGAATATGTGAAATAACAATAGAACTCATTGTTTCCCTGCCAAGTTTATGAAATTAAAACCCAGTAAAATAGCTCAAAATATCAGTGAAAATAAATGGTTTTACAGTATGTAAAATTGCATCTCTGTCACTAGAGGGCACTGTACAATAATGGATAGCAATTTAATGCATGGAATGTAAAATCAGGATACTTACTGACATGTAGAGCATATTGGACTAAAAGCACAGAAAACTGAAATAAAAGAAAAATAATTGAATGTACACACTGTATTTTAAAGAAATCACTCACAATGATAATTCACTGTCAGGGGTTCTTCCAAACAGGGAAACAGAGGCACAGCGCCCTCATACCCCGGGCTTGTGCCCTCTTACAGAACCTGGAACAGTCAGTAGATTATGATCAGTTATAACAAATACCAACGATAACAAAGATGTGCTACCTCTTAAAAATTTGTTTTTAGAAAAAACCCTGCACTGTAGTTTTGTCAATGTTTTGATGTTATATCCAACAT